GTGTTTTTTGGGTGGTTTATGGGCATTGTTCGGGCATTTTTTGGGTTCGGCCTGGTGCTCCTGGAGCTCAAACCTGTGCCAAGCACAGGAAAAACTGGGAATATCCGTTGGGTTGGATCCTGTTGGAATTTCGGGGAATTTTCTGGGCATTTTCTGGGAATTTTCTGGGAATTTCCGCCTTTTCCTGGGGGTTTTTGGGTGGTTTATGGGCATTTTTCGGGCGTTTTTTGGGCATTTTCAGGCATTTTTCGGGCGTTTTTTGGGTCCTGCCCGGTGCTCCTCGAGCTCAAACCCATCTCAAGCACCAGGAAAATCTGGGAATATCCCTTGACTTGGATCCTGTTGGAATTTCGGGGAATTTTCTGGGAATTTCCACCTTTTCCGGGGGTTTTCGGGTGTTTTTTGGGTTCTGCCCGGTGCTCCTCGCGCTCAAACCCATCTCAAGCACCAGGAAAATGTGGGAATATCCCTTGGCTTGGATCCTGTTGGAATTTCGGGGAATTTTCTGGGAATTTCCACCTTTTCCGGGGGTTTTCGGGTGTTTTTTGGGTTCTGCCCGGTGCTCCTCGCGCTCAAACCCATCTCAAGCACCAGGAAAATGTGGGAATATCCCTTGGCTTGGATCCTGTTGGAATTTCGGGGAATTTTCTAGGCATTTTCTGGGAATTTTCCAGGAATTTCTGCGTTTTCCTGGAGGATTTTGGGCGTTTTTTGGGCATTTTCGGGCATTTTTCGGGCGTTTTTTTGGGTCCTGCCCGGTGCTCCTCGAGATCAAACCCATCTCAAGCACCAGGAAAATGTGGGAATATCCCTTGGCTTGGATCCTGTTGGAATTTCGGGGAATTTTAGGGAATTTTCCAGATTTTTTCCTGTTTTTTTCCAGCATTTTTGGGGCATTTTTCGGGAATTTTGGAGCAGTTTTTATCTGTTTTTCTGGTTCTGCCTGCTGCTCCTCAAGCTTCCCAATAAACTCAATTTTCATGGAATTTTCCAAGATTTCCCCCCACTTTTAGGGCATTTTTTGTCCGTTTTCCTTCGTTTTTTTGCCCTTTTTTTGCTGGTTTTTGGGATTTTGGGGCGTTTCTGGGCAGGGGGATTCCAGAAGGGCCCAAAAAAATTTGGGAATTTTGGGGTTCCCGGCAGTTTCAGCAACCTGGGCATTCAGTGTGTGAAGAAGAAGGAAATCGAGGGCGCCATCGAGAAGAAGCTGCAGCTGGGGATCGACCCCTTCAAAGGTCAGAATTCCCCCTTTTCCCTGGATTTCCCAATTTTTCCCAATTTTCCTGTCTTTTCCACGCTTCTTCCCTATTTTTTCCCTTTTTTCCCCCTGGTATTTTTTGGTTTTTTTCCCGTTTTTTCCCCATTTTCCTCCCGTTTCTCCATTTTTTTCCTTTGTTTTTCCCTGGTTTTTTTTCTAATTTTTCCTGGTGTTTTACCTTTTATTTTTTCCTGGTTTTTCATGCTTTCTCCAAGTTTCTCCTGGTTTTTTTTTTTTCCCTTTTTTCCCCCATTTGGCCAATTTTTCCCCCTGTTTTCCCCATTTTTTCTCATTTTTCCGGTGGGCTCAATTCAAACCCACCTTTCCCTGCTTTCTGTCATTTTCCCTTGGGGTTTTTTTCCTCATTTTCCTCCATTTTTCCTCATTTTTTTCCCATTTTCCCCAGTTTTTCCCCTAATTTTCTTGTGGTTTCCTCCATTCTCTCCCATTTCCCCCCATTTCTGCCCCATTTTCCTCATTTTTCCCCATTTCTGCCATATTTTCCTCCCATTTCCTTCCCATTTCTGCCCAATTTTACCCATTTTCCCCCATTTTGTCCCAATTTCTGCCCCATTTTCCCCTTTTCCCCTGTTTTTCCCCATTTCTGCCCCATTTTCCCCCCATATTTGCCCTATTTTCCCCATTTCTGCCCCATTTTTCCCCATTTCCCCAGTTTTTCCCCCATTTTTTCCCCATTCCCCGCCCATTTCCCCCCCTTTCTGCCCTGTTTTTCTCATTTTTCTCTCTGCTTTCATTGGACTTGTGCTCCTTTAGATATTTTTTTCCTCTTTCTTTTCTACTTCTGCTCTTGCTTTTGAAGCTCACATGGCACCCTGACCATTTGCTACCGCAGGAGCTGCATTTAATTGAGTTTTTACAACTGCTGGGTCAGAAGCAGTAGCACTTCCTTGGCCTTGAGCTCCCTCCTCACCCAACAGCACACAACACATCTGGTTCTACCTCAAGGACTTAACTGCTGAGCTGAAGCTTTTAATTGTTTTAGGATCAGATCAGCAGGAAATTGTCTCTTCCCTGAAAGTCTAAAGAATTGACATTTTTATAGATTCAGAAATATCTTTAAAGTGTTGAAAATAATGTGGTATTTTCACATTTTTGCCTGTTGCTCAACCCTTTATTCTTTTACAGCAACCAAATAGTAACCAGGACTCCAGGGTTCATTCACTGGAATACTTCTAGCTGCCCTAAACCAGGAGGGCAGTTCTTTAGGACCCAGTCTCCTTATTGAAAGAGCCCTTGCTAATCTCTTCTGCACCCATTCCCGCCCCATTTTCCTCCCATTTTTGCCCAATTTCCCCATTTTCCCCCATTTCCCTCCCATTTTCCCCCATTTCTGCCCAATTTCCCCATTTCCCTCCCATTTTCCCCATTTCTGCCCAAATTTTCCCAATTTTCCCCCATTTCCCCTATTTTCCCCGATTCCCGCCCCATTTTCCTCCCATTTTTGCCCAATTTCCCTATTTTCCCCCATTTCCCTCCCATTTCCCTCCCATTTTCCCCCATTTCCCCAGTTTTCCCCGATTCCTGCCCCATTTCCCCCATTTTCCCCCATTTCCCTCCCATTTTCCCCCATTTCCCTCCCTTTTTTCCCCATTTCCCCCCCATTTCTCCCCGTTTATTCCCCGTTTCTGCCCCGTTTCCCCATTTTTCCCGTTTTTCCCCCGTTTTTCCCCAGCGGGCTCCCTGCGGAACCACCAGGAGGTCGATCTCAACGTGGTCCGGATTTGCTTCCAGGCCTCGTTCCGGGACCGCGCCGGGATCCCCCGCAGCCTCAGCCCGGTGCTGTCCCAGCCCATCTTCGACAAGAGTGAGTCCCAAAATCCCCCAAATCCACCCCAAAAATATCCCGGAAATATCCCGAAAATATCCTGAAAATATCCTGTCCCAAAAATATCCTGAAAATATCCTGAAAATATCTCAGAATTATCCCCAAAAAAATCCCAAAATATCCCCAAAAAATCCCCCCGCAGCCTCAGCCCGGTGCTGTCCCAGCCCATCTTCGACAAGAGTGAGTCCCAAAAAACCCCAAATCCACCCCAAAAATATCGTGGAAATATCCCAAAAATACCCTAAAAATATCCCGGAAA